GAGATACATAGAGGGAACCTGTGCAGTTTCTAAAATTCTCAAATATTCTGCACTGAAACATCTCATTACTTCTCTGCTTAATAACAGTCACTTTTGCCTTGCTGCTCACTTCACTTCCAATATTGATGTCCATGAAAGAAGAAAGTATCTAATATAGAACTGTGGGATAAAAGTGCAAAAATTCTCAAATGTTTTGGTTCTCCTTTATCAGTCTGAAATAACAAGCAATAGAAGAGGAGGGAATTTAAAAGCTTTGCTAGTTCTCCTTTTGGTACACTAACCCAGGGACTTCACATTAATTTCAAGTGAGAGTTTTATCACCTTTTCCTACCAACTGGGCATCTAATCAGAACTAAGAGCTAGGAGAACCTGTGAGGTTTTGAGTTGCTTTAGGTGTTGCTGCCCCAGTCTGAGGTGCCTGTCCCAAGCAGACTGTGTCATTGCCCAGAGGTTGTTCTCACTGGCTCTAATGGGAGCCTTCAGAGCTGGGGAGGACGTGCTGCCTGATTGCTGCCTCCCCCAAAATAATTCTCATGGTTTTACCATTCTACCATGTGGAGTTAGAAGTCTTCAGGTTATGAAATCTGTTCTTGATGGCTGAAGATGATACTCAGGTATGAACATACACTGGAGAAGAAGTCCTATGATCCCAGCTGTAAAGTAAGACATGCTTGTTGGTGGTAACTTGGAAATCATGGAATTTCCCAGGGATCTTATCCTATGGAAAGGAGCAATTGTACATTCCTGACATATTAAAACCAAAAGTAATTGCTTGGGATTGTTCTGGAGAGGTAGAGGGAGAGATTAATGGTTAAATATGTTTGGATGCTTTTTCCATCTTGGATACTATGAAGATGGTCCTTTGTGTGCTTTAGTAGGTGGTAGACGAATTTGATAGAGGTTTTGTCAAATTTCTTTTATTTTGTTGTGGGTTTTTTTGTTTGTTTGTTAATTTGTCATTTTTCCTGTTTCTAGCTTTTGAATTTTATTAAAAGCAAGGGAAAAAATAAATTGCTATATATTTTCTTCCTGAAGAATTAAGAAGGTGGCTTTTAAACTTTTTTGGCTTGCATAAATCAAGTTAAACAGCAATGGATGGTTGCCTAATAGCTAGCCTGCAGTTTTCTGGTGAACACAGTTCACATGGTAGCTTTTCAAGCTGTGAGATCCAGTATATAATCAATATGGATATCTACACACAAATGCATGATGTATTCATATAAGCTGGGTTAAAAGAGGGTAATTTTAAACTGTGCAGAAATACTTTAATAAGACTGATTTTTTTCCAGTTCTTTGTATGAGTGTAGCCATCCTATCTGAGATGGAAAAATCTAAAAGTCTCACAGACTTTCAGAGGCCACCCCTCTTCTCTGGCTTCCCCCCAGGATTTACTTTCCTTGGAATGTACTGTAGTCTATCCATGACAAGCAGGAGTAGCTCACTCTGCATCTTCCCAGCAATGACAGCACCCCTGACTGCTTCAAACCTCAGTCTGACATCTCCTAAACCCAGTTTTGTCTTCTCTTGAATGAAGGTCCCAAGTCTTTGTTCAGACGGTCTTCTGATATCTGAAGATGCTTTCATTTTCCCCTAGGTGAAGGGGGACTCCCAGGATGACTCTTCCTGTTGTCAGAGAAACCTTATTATTATTTGTATTATCTCAGATCAGTTTGGAGAAATTACTGTCTGTCAGATACAGAGATATAACGGGTGTCTGATATTTATACATTTGGATTAATTCTAGGAAACAATGACACTAAGCTGCATAAGTTCGAAAAGGAGCTATAATCCTGCTTACAACACAGAAATCTAGTGCTGTTGGTGATGTTCTGGCAGTGAGGATGAGAGTGGGAATTAGTAGAGCTGAAATGTTCAATGAGGTAAATAGAGCAATGCAAATCTCAAGGGCTTCTGAAACACAGAATATGCAAGCACGGTTCTGAAAATGCACATTGCTGCTTCCTCTCACACCATCCATCTTACCTCTCTTCAGCTTCTAAAAATCAATTTGATGTGGCTGCCTCTAGTTTGAAATTAGCACGATTTAATCTGTGATAGAGGAAAAACCTTTCTCCATGGAAAGGGCCCTCATGGGAAATTTAATGATAGCATATTCCCCAAGGAAAGCTGCCACCTTAGACTGTGTCCCTGTAGGAGGGAAATTGAACAACTGCAATATTCCATTTATAAAATGTGTGTGTGCATGTGTATGGTGACATGACACAGTGCTTTGTGGCAGCTTATTTTAATCTGGGTTCTTCACATGACAGATGAAATGATTTCTGTAATTATTCTTAGATATAAGACCCAAAGTCAGTTCTGTTAATACTTGGACTGTTTGGCATAAAATACATTTAGGTATCTCATTTAAACATCCCTCTGGAAAAAAAGCTCTGGAAATCAGAAGTGATTGAATGGATGAGCTGTAACTGTATTGCTTCTAGGCCCAGTAAAAAGGCAAGTGTATCAGGCTGATTTTCATTTCAAATGTTTCATTTGCAGCGAAGTTTCATCCCAAGGCTTACATAACCAGACTTGCTTTCCTTGTAGATGAATTAGCTCTTGTTTTACTTCTAAGTTAAATTAAGATCATTGCCATTTTATGTTAAGGAGTAGGAAAAAAATGTAATATATCCTCGCTTTAGAACAAAATTATATGTTAACCATAACCACTGATAAAATACTTGTTATTACAAGTCTTTATCACTGCTTATGGTTAGAATTAGGTGAATTATATAATTTGACATAAACCTGAGGAAATTATTGTACATGTATCTATGCCTTATTTTAAAATATTTGATAGGGTAATAATTTGATGTGAACATAGAGTATTTCAAAAATACATAATATGACTAGTAAATTTAGGAAGAAAAATATATGTAGTTTCCTAAAGCCTGAAGAGGCTTTGTTGCATCTGTATTTGTTGTGTAGCAATAATACAGATTTTATTATTAATTTAGAAAAAACACTGCTTAACTTTGGTGAAATTGTTTCGCTCTTTCTGAACGGTCAGTGTGACTTTTGTCGTATGGTTTTAGGTTTCCAGCTGGGCTGGTTTCCTTTCACTGCAAGATTGAAGTCAGTCAGTGTGTTTCCAAGATTACTGAATGGTTGAACCCATCTCAATGGTAGGGTCTGCAGAACAACAGTTTTGCAACTTGTGTGCTTAAGAGAGAGGGAATATGTCCAGAAAAATTCACTTAAGTCATCTATCAAAGGTGCCAGCGAAGCTGGTGGCTTTATTTCTCAGGAAAGCAGAGAGAGATGGAAGGGCATGAGGGGATATTTTATTGATTGCTTTCTGGAAAAATTATTCTATGAGCTACTTTTGAAAAGAATGTAATTTGCCTGAGGTGTAGCAGGAATAGTCTGAAAAGCACTGGGAGAAATACTTCCCTGATTTATTTGGGTATAAAATGATGCTGTTCTCTCAGAGCCAGAACTTGTATCAGGAGCACTGCAAGTATCAGGAATGTGACTTCATGTGTTTGATAATGATACAGGTAACTTTTGAACCATCTATTGGAGGGAAACTGGAAGAGAGATTTTCTCAATGAACTCATGTTCATATAATAGCAAAGAAGTTATTGTTTTTGCACTGGCCTGTCTTTGCTTAGGCATACCTTGTACTGGCTTGCTGGAGGGGTGGGCAACATGCGTGTTCTTGAGACAAAAGGAGCACAGAGGCTTGGAGTTAGCATGGGTGTTGCAGAAATCTGGACCCTTCAGAAACACTGGATGGGTTTCATTATGATTGTCTTCATGAGAGTCTAATAAAAATGCCAAGCTTTGGTAGGTTTATTTGTCTGATATACACTATGTCATACTCCTGACTCTTGTGTTATCTGCCCATCTGAACACTTGAAAACATCTTGAACCTGATCAATCACTATCAGTTGATGAATTGTCAGTGGAGCCAAACAGATCTATAATGCAGAAGAGAACTAGGCCTTTAAGTTATTTGACCTTTTGTCTCTGTGTAAATGTATTTATAAGTCTGTTCTGTGTGGTAAATGCTGACTTCATAACTGTTAAAATACAAAATATTGTGTCATCAGTAGAAGACTTTAGGAGAGGTCATAAAGGTATTTTATTCTGTTTAGCTAATTTAGGCTAAAATTTTACACAGGCAAATAATTAATTGTGGGATGTAATGCCCTGACTGACTTACAAGACTGCTTTCTTTCCCATTTCTGTGATGAAATCCTTGAAAATCCACTAGTGCATGTTATAATACTTTTAACCTGTACTGTGATGTTGACTGTTTTAAGATCTGAAGCCAAAAGCATTATTCTACTTAAACTTGAAACTGGTATTTGAACAGCTCTATCAGTTTTTCTACATGAGATTCTTTGGCTATCTCTGTCAATCTGTGATTCAGATATGGGCTCATCTCCCACAAGTGAAAGCAACTTAAAATAAAATAAAAATTTAAAATCTCAGTTTACAAATTATTATATTATATATATGTTATATATAGAGATATATTTTCTATTTTTCACTATTATAAAAATCTGATAAATGAATTCAACTTGATAATTAAAATGTATATAAATGTTTGTGGAAGACTAATCTTATATATTTAAGAAAATAAAAACAATTTTTTAAAAAATAAAACACAAAAATAACTATATGTTCCTGCATGTGACAGGTGCAAGGTCTAACATCTGAGGAAATTGGATGTCACTCTGAGTTACTGTCAATCCTCATTGCTCACTATCACACCACAAAAGAACATGGTTAAGTTTTCCAAGTTACAGAGTCTTACTGTACAGTGATACACTGACTAAATTTCACACTGGCATTAATGTAAAATATTTGTAAAAGAATGTTGTTGCTGGAAAATCCTGCTTTAGTAGTCAAAGTGATGGAGTCAGGCTCAGAATTCAATTTTGATTCACTGTGTTGTTTCTTAAAGTACTTGCAGACTGTGTTCGTATTTTTGTGTGCAAAATTCATGAATATGTTTACAAAAGGTGAATTGTTTTATCTTCCTCCAGACCAAGAAGAGAGCCATATAATTTGAAGTTCACAAAGATAGAGATCAACAAGCCAGCAGAATTATAGATGAAGCTGTTCTGTGGTGAGTAAACTGAGACTTTCATACACTGAGCTTCTTGTGTGAAGATTCTGTGGCACACTCCTCAGATAAGCAGAAATTACAAAGTAGCATTGCTTGAAACCTCAAAGAATTACTCTTACAAAAATAGTATTACAAATGAAATAGTTTTTAGTGTTTCGCTACTTCAGCTAAAATATTCCATTCCAGTGTGGACCTTAATTTTTTTTTTGTTTGATCAACATTCTCACATTTTGGTGTCACTTTGTGACATCTAATGCTCTATGTTGTAGTTGTTTCACCAGACAATATCTTGAAGCACTTTTGATTGCTAAGAAACCTCCTACTCCTTGCCAAGCCAGTATCTGGATATCCCATTGCTGCTCTGGGTGCAGTTATGTACTGTTGAGTGGCACCTTAGGCATTGACTGTGTAGGGACCTGACTGGCTTCATCTGTTCTGGTCACATTTGGCAAAGGTATAAAGCCCATTCTTGCCAAAATCAGATCAGTTCTCACTGGAGACTGTAACTGGCTGGCAGTGAGGGTGCTCCTTGGTGCAGCCCCGGGCCAAACAGCTGAGAGAGAAACGCTGCTGCCAGAGCAGGATCCTTCCCACAGGGCTCAGCTCTTGGCGACAGCTGAACCGAATGCAGGGGCTGTAAACTGCTCCTCTGCTCTCCTGATGTGCACAGTCACCACAGCTCTAGGAAAGCAAAACCCAACTATCTGGAAGTGAATGTTAAAATACTGAGCTTTGTTCCTATGAATTTAGTGGTTTTTTGGGCAGCCAGTGCAGAGGAAGAAATAAAAAAATCAAACCAAAAACATCAAACTAAAATTTAGGAACTTTTTTTCAAAATTGTCTGTCACTGACTGTTTTGCTGAGGCCTTGAGGAGTAACAGGGCTGAATTTGTGTAGTGGAATAAAGGGAAATGCGTTCATCTGAAAGTTAGTTCACATGCTGATACCAGATTCTATAGCTGATAAATTGATTTAAGGATCTCTCAGTAAAAAAAAAACAAACCAGAAATTCCGGTGAGATTTCCCTGCTTAAATACTTGTGAAACAATGTATTGGTGGCTAGTATGAAAATGATGGCTGGAAAAACTGTTGCCCAAGTGAAGACCTCTTCCTAATTCTCCTTCAAAAAGGAAGAAAGGTTGGAGCTGCAGAAGTTTTCTGGAACATACAGAACTTCTCTTAATGGATTAGCCACACTGTTTTTTGTGGCTTTTTTCTCTTTTAACTGTGCAGGAAAATGTGTTTTGCTGTGCAGAAGCATCGAGTGACTACCTCCCTCCCTCAGGGAATAAACAGAAGACGTTATAATAAGGAGATTTTGCTCCTTGTAGTTGTCATGAATCAGAGGGCTGGTCAGTAAAAATTATCTGTGTATATATACATTATACACGTCTTGTTACTATATATTTGTGTATAATATTAATATATGCTATCCATATCTATATGTTTAGTACACCCATGTGCATTGATATTATATATATGTATAGTTATATATGCACATGTATGAGAGAGAAATCAAGAAGTGATCTTTAAGCTCTGTGGAAGAAATAGAAGGTAGTGCTATTATTTCCTATATGTGTCCCTTGGGAAGTCTTTAGCGTGATTGTTGGATAGTAATGACTCTTCTCAATGTCTGCTTACCTCTTCAAGCAATGATATGACCACTGTTAGATTTATTAAATTCTTTCCTCTGTTCTTTATCTTCTGCTCAACGTTTGTTGTCCCATTCAGATAGTTTTTAACTGGTACTTTCTGAATTCATTTGCGCTCAGTTCAAAGGTTTTTGTATTCCTCTGGCAACGGTGCCTAAAATGAAGAGATCCAGCACACCTTGTGATTGAGCACGCTGCCAACATAACAGATGGATGTGATTGTTGGCAGCCAGGAAACCTTATGAAACATCGGTGTCAAATCATTAGAGACAGCATTTTTAACTCAGAAATATCTGTTAGATGTTCAGGGTTTATGCACATGATGGAGCATAGTCTAATCAGGTTGACTGAGTTATTTTAAAGTTTAAACTGTAATGCCTGAGTGTATAGTTTGAGTGTTACCTGCGTAACCTGCAGCTGTTACATTTCAGCGTCTTCAAGATTTATATTTACTTTGCCCTGAAAAAAATTCCTGTTAGGGAATAAGGTCAAAGGACTAATACCTGTGCTGGCTTCTTAGACCACATGGTGTGTGATGTGATAAGATACCAGTATCATGTCATATATCCTGATTCTTTGCACACATCTAGATTGTGTGTAATTAATTGCAGGGATTAATTTACTTTTCTATTTTAGTGTCACATATATTGCTGCATTTCAAGTTGTATTCTTTTATTTTAGCTAATATAATTATACTGAGATAGGGTGACGTTTTTGAGATATAACTGACCTAGTGATTTTTTCCTTCCTTTTCTGCCCTACATGGAGACAAAATATTAACAGGTATCAAACACGAGACAGTTAGGTATTTAGAATATCCCACTGGATGCTTATCTATATCCCTTAGTTTATAATAACCTCTGAAATTAACTGATTAACTCATGTTAAACCATACTGATTTTATTAGGGTTTTGTAACCCTGAATCAGGTAAGTGCTTTAAAATGGTTACTCTAAATAACAAACAGTAGAATTCCTTTTTTGGAAGTGATTGTTTGGTTATCTTGTTGAGTATGAAATGCATGACAGAATACTTGGGATCCTCTGGTTCATTATAGTGCTCAGCATAATCCCATAAAACCAGGTTCCTGTGTTATTTTATTAAAATGTTAAGCTCTTTCTGTTAACTTAGTTCTAAGAGAGCTTTCTGTATCAGAAGGTGAGGGGTGTGATGGTATGTGGAAACTTATGGCATGTAATTTATCTTCACATAGTGTTCACATCCAGATAAATGAAAGAGAGAATGTCTTTATCATGAAATAGAAACAAGGTGTTCTGGAAAGAAGATTCACAGCTTATAAAATCACTGTAATATGTTAAATTAGCACATTAAATCCAATCCCATTAATCATTTTTTAGCTAAACACAGATATTTCTGCTTCATATTTAAAATTAATGTCTGAGAATAATTTTTTTAAACCTGAGATAGTTTCATTCTAGACTGTGTTATCCTCTGAAATCCAAAGCACTATTAATAGAGACAGGCAAGCCAGTAGATAGCAGGTAGAAGAGTTACTCAAAGCAGGCAATTCCACATTCTTATCATAAATGTGCTGAAATGACAGTAGAGAATGTGCCTGAGGAATTTAATGGAATTTCCTAGTGAATTCATAGTGGCCTTCATCTTAAAGTTCAAGAAGGCTTCTGAGTTTGCATTTATTCTGGTTCTCAAGCATACTTAAGGATGCCTGGAGATGAGAAATCACAAATGCTTAAGACTATATGAATATAAAGTACAAAGAGAGAGAGAATAATTTATAATGCAGTGTCAGTGCTTCTGGTTTTAAAACACCATCATGTCAACCTTTCTTTCTCATGTCATAATAAAAAGATATGTATTACAAGAGAGTTTTACTTTAATTCAGGTTTCATTTTATCTTTTGTTTATTCTGCAGCTATCTAGATATTTTCATACCAGATATGATAATGAATTTATATTTTGGGTGAAATTTATACGCAGCATTTAAAAAAATTATAATATATGCATTTTATAACCATTCAAAGTGGCAGGTTCTAAGATGGCATGGTAGCAAAACTTCACCAATAGCCATGTAGTCATGTAAATCTGTAAGATTCTTGCCTAATCTATAAAGTAAGACCAAATCTAGGATTTTTTTATATTAAAATTGAACCATGATGAAACCACACAATCATTAATCATATTTTGGTTACTGGAGGCTCAACCTGTCCCTCTTCTTCAAATATATAGAGAATTAGAGTTTCGTATGGGAACAAGACTGAGAAAGTACTGACAATACATGTCATGTTCATGTCTATACTCTAAGGATACTGGAGGAATTACTGGGAAGAAAATTCATCCTATGCATTTCCAGGACTGACTACAATTGATAAGCACAGGCACTTGCACTCAGAACTGTGGTAAGGTGTTGGATGGTCCAAAAGTCAGGCCAGTCTGTGACTGCAAGCTGTAGGAGCAGTATGCCTGCTGATGCAAGTATATAAGTATCTTTCAGGAAATCAAGGAAAGGCTTTAAGACTTATTCCTTGGCAAATGCCTCCAAAAGAAACACCTCTACTGCATTTCAGCTGTCACAGTGCTGGCCAATGCTCACACTATTTTCAGATGTGACAGCATATGCTCCTTCTCTTACTGGAAAAACTTTAGTTGATGTCAAGAAAAGCAGCAGAACAGAGCAGGTTGAAATGGTGTTCCTGCTTGAAAGTGGCAGAGCAATATGTCAGTGTTCTGTAGGATGCTCAAATAAAAGAGAGTTTAATTTCCCCTATCCCCCCATAATAAAACACAGTTCTTTTAAGTTAGAAAGTAATTTAGATAAGTTTTCTAATATTCTTTGACTAATATTTGACTTTTAGGTGCTGGGTCAAAAAGTGCTAATTCTAGTGGAAAGGTTGAGGCTGCATAAGCAGGCATTAAAATGTTCAGATGCATCTTTTAATCCCTGCAAGGTGCTGACAGATACAATGAGGAAAGGAAGTGCTGGTGTAAAATAGTGCAAGGCAGTGCATGGGATATGGATACAATTCAGAGTAATCCAAAGATTCAAATGGTACTGCCAGGCTAAGCTAAGGACTGATGCTGGCAGGTACCCACCAGCACTTGGATCAGTGACTTCAGCAGCTGGGAAGAATAGAGAAAAGGGAGGAAGAGATTCAGGCTATTGGAGGGTGAGGTGCAGTTCCAGAAGTACTGGTAAAGGCTAATTTTTATTACTAGAAAGAGTGTCTGGAGTAGATTTGATATATGAATGTTGAACTGCAGACAAAAATGAACTAGAATAAGGTGAGAATTCAGAAGGGGGCTATTACACTAATCTCAGACCTGAAGGTGGCATGTGCTGCTTGAAAACTTTTTAGGTTGCTGTGCAAAA